CTTAATTAACTTTCTTCAAATTCACATTAGTGTATTTTTAGGCTTCTGATGCACATTTAGGGAAATAAAAACACGGTAAGTGCCTTTGAGGATTGACTGTGTAGTTGCTTTTAGACACATAGCATCATGGGATGTGTCAGTTAACCAAATGAGGTCACATGAGTGTAGCATATTTTGCTTCAGTGAAACTTGGCTGCACTCGCACATCCCAGACAGCAGCGTTGAGGTTCCGGTCACAGTTTGTTACGTGGAGACAGAGACTGTTCCAAAAGTCAGGAGAAGAAGGGTGGCGGACTTGCACTTTATGTGAGTGAGAGGTGGTGCAATCCCAGACATGTCAGTGTGAAGGATTGTCTCTGTACCCCGGACATTGAACTGCTGGCTGTGGGAATGCGCCCGTATTATTTGCCGAGGGAGTTCACGTCCACCATTGTTATCGCTGGCTACATCCCCCCGTCAGCTGATGCAGCGGTGGCCTGTGAAGTCATCAGCTCTGCCACCGCTAAACTGCAGACTGAACATCCGGATGCGTTGACGCATATGACGCCACAGCCCTTCCCCCCTTGGCAGGTCAGACCACAACCTGGTCATGATGACTCCCAAGTATGTCCCTCTTGTGAGAAGGCAGCCTGTGCACACCAGGACAGTGAGGAGGTGAACTCCGAGAGATGCTGAGGACGTGAAAGGACAACTACAGGAGGAAGCTGGAGGCCAAACTCCAACAGAACAGTGTGAAGGATGTGTGGACGGGAATGAAGCACATCACGGGGATGAAGGGGAAAGACAGGCAGACATCTGAGAGCCTGGACAGAGCTAACCAGTATAACCAGTTTTTCAACAGGTTTAGATCAACTCCTGCAACGAGCCCATATGCATCTGGATGGTGGGGGAGGCGCTGTGAGGATCACATTCTTTGATTTCTCCAGTGCTTTCAACACCATTCAGCCTCTGCTTATGGGTGAGAAGCTGCGGGTGGTGAGTGTTGATGACACTATGATCTCCTGGTTTACTGACTACTTGACAGGCAGGCCACAGTTTGTCAGTCTGGGCAGTATCCTGTCTGACATGGTGGTCAGTGATACAGGAGCTCCACAGGGAACTGTGCTTTTTCCCTTCCTCTTCACCTTATACACCACTGACTTTCAGTACAACTCTGAGTCATGTCACCGGCAGAAGTTTTCTGACGACTCAGCTGTTGTCGGGTGTATAAGAGGGGGAGATGAGGGTGAGTACAGGACACTGGTAGACAACTTTGTAGAGTGGTCCGAACAGAATCACCTGAGGCTGAATGTCAACAAGACCAGACAGATGGTGATCGACTTCAGTAGGAAGAAGAGGATGCCTTCACAGCCACTACGGATCAGGGGGGAGGTGGAGGACTACAGATACTTGGGAGTGATGATCGGCAATAGACTGGACTGGAAATCTAACATCGAGGCTGTGTACAAGAAGGGGATGAGCAGACTCTATTTCCTGAGGAAGCTGAGATCCTTCAACGTGTGCAGCAAGATGTTGGAGATCTTCTACAAGTCTGTTGTTGCCAGCGCCATTTTCTTTGCCGCTGTGTGTTGGGGCAGCAGCATCAGAGCCAGCGACACCAACAGCCTTGATAAAATCATCAAGAAGGCTGGCTCTGTACTTGGTCTCAGGCTGGAGTCTTTTGAGTCCGTGGTGGAGAGGAGAATGCTGAATAAACTGTTATCCATCATAGACAATGATCAGCACCCTCTCCATCACACAGTGGTCGGACAGCCGAGCACCTTCTCTCACAGGCTGCTCCAGCTCCGCTGTCGAAGGGACAGATACAGGAAATCTTTCCTGCCACATGCCATCACACTGTACAATAACAGCCAAAACTCTGGTCATAACAATACAGTCTCCAAGCACCTTATATGTTTTATCTGTTCACTGCACCTTATATTTTTACTTTGCACTACAATTATACCGCTTATTTAAACATTTTATACATTTTTTATATTGCATTTTATATTGCTTTCTTGTGTCTAGGTTGTTCTCTTTACTTGTGTTGTTACTGTGTGTAATGCTGCTGCTACACTGCAATCTCCCAGCTTGGGATCATTAAAGTCTATCTATCTATCTATCTATCTATCTATCTATCTATCTATCTATCTATCTATCTATCTATCTATCTATCTATCTATCTATCTATCTATCTATCTATCTATCTATCTATCTATCTATCTATCTATCTATCTATCTATTAGTAGAATCTACATATTAATTGGCTCTAATATGTAAATATCAAGCATGATTATTACAGAACAGAATAGTACATGGGTACAGGAGAGAAGAGAGATAGAGGGTGAGACAGTAAAGCCAAATAAGGTTGTATTAATTTTAAAAGAGGTTTTTTTTTATATTTATTTTTTTTATTTGATCTACGTGAGAACAAACCCTTGCCTATACAGAAAAGCTGGTGTATTTCTGACCCCAAATTACTGCCACACTTGCACAGCCATGTTTCTTTTGGCGACCAAATTCTCCACCATATTCTAGCTGAAATAACAGCATGAGTCATTAGGTGTTACATTCTATCCCTCCACTCGCAGCTGCTGTTTATTTTTGTGGATATTACTTTCAAGTTAATTGTGTCAATCAGGAATTGTGTTTCATATCCGCAGAGTGGCTCACTTAATCATTTGGGTTTCTCAGTTAAATGACTGCAGGGATGGAGTAGGCAAAATTACCCCGCGGCAGGCTCAGGCCTGGAATTAAAGCTGTGATACTGCCCACCCTGACATGCCTGGGCACTAGTAATGAATAAAATCTTAAAATTTGAAAACAAATCCTGAGGCTTTTATGCTATAATTTACTCTTTCTAACAGTCTCCTTGGGAACTGTTTGACTGTGTTCTCAGTGTTATGCGAGGTGGTTGTTTCTGTGTTAAAGCTAATGGCTCTGAGCAAGAACAAATGCGGGCCTTGGGTCCTAATCCCCGCTGCTAAGAGCTGTCTCCAAATATTGAATATATTTAGCTTTGTACTTGCAACAACTCTGCCCCTTAAGGCTCCCTCTCTTTTCTGTGTTGAGCAAGTGAGTGGTAATAATTACACCAGCCATGTGTGAGCTGTTTGCTTAGGCAGCACAGTATCTGTACTTTTTCCGTTTTGAGCGAGATGATACTTCTAGTGGCCGAGAGAAATGCCTTCAGTGTGATGATTCTTAAAGGTCAGGTTGACTATTCTAAAACTGAAAATTGCAGACTGTGCCAAGGTGTCTGGTTTTAAGGTGAGGGAGTGTAAGAGAGAATAAAACAGTTGTGAATGTATACACAGTACAGTTTTCCCCTTTGGCAGACAGAAAGTTTTTTTCTCTTTAATCATACAAACAGTTTACAATATCATCTGTATTCATTGTATTCTCTATGGACCTCCTCTATAACTGGAGCCCCTCCCACTTATTATGATCATCCAATCTGAATTAGCATCACCTCCCCCCTGGAAAACTAAGCACAATTTACATAATGTAAGATTATCTAGATTATGTATTGGAGAAAACAAGTAGGTACTAGCTATTGTAGATAGTTAGTTATAGTCCCCATTGTGCAGAAGCAGGCAGAGCTGACATTGACATCTTCACTGAGCTTGTTTATCTTACATACCAACTGTGGAAACGTTTACATGGCTGATTAACTAAAACATAATGAAGTGAGAGTCTAGTAGTGGTAACGTGTAATTATGTAATCTCATTTCGGGAGGAGACAGTGCTGCAGCCAACCAGCCTCTGATTACTAGAGACGCCCTCTGAAGGTCACACTGTAATAGACTGCATCGTTCAAAGGAGGCAGCTACTGATATGGAATCCTATGCCTGTGGTTCCCAAATGTTTTTAAACCATGGCACCCCTTCATACACTTACGCTAAAAATGAATAAAAATGAAGAGTGTTAATAGGTAAAAATGCTTTTTTTTTGTCCAGTTTAAAAGTTGAATTTGCTTTCATTATGCATTTGAACTTGCCGATGATGCATTGTGTGTGGCACAGCTATTCTCTATGAAAAGCTACGGCTAGACTCTTTTTGTCAGCTCAAGTTAATTCGGCAGTGTAGAGGGCTGAGATGTATCAGCATGTTTGAGCTTTATTGTGCTTTATACAGTGACAAATATCTTGCTTGCTCTGACTTTCTATGACTGCTGTGCACCTGAAAACCTGTTGCCAAAAAGCATGTTTCTTGTTACTCTGACAACTGGCAACCATGAGCTGTTGTCACCAGCCTTAGCTGCGGCATAAGTGATTTCAGTGCTTGTTGCCTAGACCTTTTATTATGTTTGAAGACCTAATATTAAAATGTTATTTTCAATGGTGAAGTTATTATTCATTTGTAGTATGAAAAATGTAATTAATCTTGGCGCTTTGGACTGTCCTTAAGGAACCCCAGCATGCAGCAGCTCTCACTATGGGAACAACTGCACTAGAGTCTTTAGTTGAAAACGCACGGGTTGCACCAAAATCAGTGATCAATCCCTCCTCTGGTGGGTGTAGGTATAGTGAAATCAGCATATTCTCTCCACTGTCACCATGCCCCCCGAATATGGGTTTGCATGCATGTGTTTTCAGAGGTCATATGAGGGGAGAGAAGATGTGAAGTAATGATCAGTATTGTGGTCTCACAGGACTGCAGGTCCTACAGTGAATAATAGATTTTTTAGCTTAGAGGATACTGCAGCATGGCTGCTTGGGTTTAATGTAAAGGGCATGCTGTGACACTAGTGTTGGGCTCACTGTTACTCAAAGTCTTGGCCAGGGGGGAAGCTGCAAAGGCTCAGGCAGGCAAGCAGCAGGCACTGTGGTTAAGGTTTTGGTCCCTTGAGTTCTAACTTATCTCTCTCTCAGTGGAGAAAATAGGGAAAAGGCCAGAAGTCTCATTCCTGTGGGCCATGAGTTCTTTCTCCCTTTGCATTATTTCCCAAAGAAAAAGCCTTGAGTTTCATCAATAACAAATGGAAAAAATGCACTGCATATGTGTATGGTATTTTTCAGTACGAAGGAACAAAGGAGGCACAAGGACACTACGGAGCAACGGCACAAGCGGCGCAGTTTTGACAGATTCGGTGGAGGAAAAGAAGAACAGCATCAAGAAAGGAGGCACAGAGACAAAAACGAAGGATGGCAAAAATCATCATGCAGGTCAAACAGAGACACACACTCTCATACTCCCAATGAAAAAAAAGAACAAAAGGCAGACTTATAATGTGATTGTCATCTATGTCCTCAACAGCAGCAGTAGCAGCCGCAGGAGTCAGAGGGACAGTGATGAGGACAGAGACAGTCAGAGTAGACACAAACCCAAAAAGGCCAAAAAGTAATAAGGACAAGAAGTTCTCTGCTGATCAATAGAGACAAATAAAATCTTTCAGTCTCTCAATATATAATGAGAGAAACTGCCTTGTAACATTTTACTGTATGTTTTGTCAGAAAAGAGTTTAATTAGATTTTATTAGTGAAAGAGATGAAATGTATATATTGTGTACAAAATGTTTATGTTGCATCAGCTTTTAGTGTTGTTTTTGTTGAGTTGAAGTAAGGCTTTTAAGCATGGGATTTCTCACACAACTCTCTTTTTCAAATGACTTTATTGATCATTTAACCAAATGTACCATCAGATATACTACACAGGCCGAAGCGTGACAGACACAACCACAGAAGATGGGCCTCAGACCATCTACTGATACACAGAAACCAAGTCAGTTATTTTTTCTTAAAAGTAAGAAAATTAGTAAGGCCTCCACAATGTCACCTAATTAAATATTATTTTTTTAACATGTTATGAACACACTGATCCTTTATTTTTTTTATATATTTTTTATTCCCAGTGGTTTGATAATTTAGCCATAGCTTCTGAAATAAAAGAAAATAAAACTTCAATACAGACTACTACTTGGCAACGTGTCCTCAGGTCAATGGATGAAGATGACAACCACTGTCAGTACAAACAGAATGGAGCCTATATTTAAAGGCCATACCACAAACAAACAAAAGAAACGTATTACAAGTGCTTGGATCAGTACTTTTTTTAGACACCCAACATTTACAATAAAGAAATGTGAGTCCAACTTAACGCATACCCTAATATATAACTACTGGAATTGGCAACGTGTTTTGTCTCCTCTCGATCCACCCACCCCACTCACTGGGTGCTGTTCCAGAGAATGTCCTCTACACCGATAACGCCCAACATCCTAGTTAGAAGTGGCTCAGTCCTGGATCCTCCTAGTTCAGCGTTCTTGGAGGGGCAAGTTAACCTCTGGTAACAATCCAGTCTCATGTTTGTCCCTCTCCAAACTCCTGGCAAAGTCTCAGCTGTCCATCAGAAGTGAGATATCCATACAGCTACAGCACTATTCTAAGCTTCTCCCACACAGCAAGCTTAGGGTGGTCAGCCAGTCTAAAGCTCTGTCTTCCACATTCCTTGGTCAGTGCCATTGAATGTGCTGGAGCACTGCTACAGAAGGCTGCCCGGCCAGGAGACGATGGTCAGGGTGATTCTGCCCCGAAGCTCCTTGAGAAGGCGCACCAACGCTGTGTGGGTCATCCCCCACGTACTCTTCCCGTTCACCTCGAGCAAGATGTCCCCACACCTACACAGAGCGAGATGGGCATTGAAAAAGCTTGCTTAAAGGAGGATTATGTAAATGAACTAAAATAACAATAGTATCATATTTTTTGATATATGTGTTATTCCTAGACCAGTCTAGAACATTGCATTCATGGGCTGTAATATGTCATATAGATAAGCTGAATACCTTATCCTGCCATCGTTATAGGCTGGCGTCCCCTCCACGATGGAGCGGATGAAAAAGGATTGATTGCAGTTGACCTCCTCCTGACCTCCCACGATGCTGAAGCCCAGGCTGCCCGAAGTGCTCCGCCGCAGGACAATGTCTTTGCAGCAATAAAGATGCCTGCATGAGCCAAGGGAGAGATTAAAAACACTAATCTCTCAACTGCATCTTTAAATTATATATACTCTGCTGTATAGCCATACTAAGTATGTGTGCAGTAGCTAGACTGCTGGAACCTCAGAAGACAAAAGCCTGGTTTGCTCTTTGAATGAAGGTGTGACTTTTCCTCCCTGGAGATATCAAACACTGAGAATAGTTGGACTTCTGTATCAGTCTCATAGTGATAGCCCAGGGCTGAGAGAAAATTATATTCAAATCCTTATGGTTGCAGCACTGGTCTGCATTCACACAGTGACTCAGTATTTGGCTTTGACTCCTAATCAATGCACTGTTTGAGGAGAAACACAGTTTTATTTCACTATAAGCAGCAGCAGCAGTTGTTTATTGCCGTCAGCGCCCCGCCGTCCTCCTGACAATGCATTGTAGTAAGATAAATTCATATGTTACAATTCGAGGCAAAGTTTTTCATTCTCAGAAGTTCTACAGATATAATAGTGGTGAATATTAAAGCTGAAAAGTTAGTTTGAAAGTATAATGAGCACTCTCCCCAGCTGGCACTGTCAAAATTTTAGTTGGCAGCAGCTGGCAGAGGTCACAAAGACCAGTGTGTGGGGGGGTTTAAATTATACTGGGCTCAGACAAAAAGTAGTGGAAAAAGTAGAAAAATTGATATGGAGTGGAAACAGAGACATCAAGGGGTGCTCACCTGGGTAGCTGCAGCCATGACACCCACAGTGGGGAGTGGTCGTCATTGGGCAGTGGGCTCTTGGTGCTGTCTGTAGGTGAGGGTGTGAGACAGGGGGGCAATGTGCACTCCTGCAGGCTGTCCTCCGGAGGACGCATCTCCAAGACCTTGAGCACAACGGGAGAGGAGGTGTTCTTCAAGTTGGCCACGGCTTCGCCTCGCGTCACCCCCGTCAAGTCCACTCCGTTCACGTTTAGCAAGATGTCACCTGCGGGGAAGGAAGCGGACAACACAGCTCATCCTCTGCCCACGGGTTGCTGCCCTGATAAATGCTTTTTAAAAGACCTCACAGGACAGGGACTCATCATCTGCCTATTTAATATTCAACAACCTTCCTGCTACAACACAATGGGATGGAAACCAAGCGCCACCTGTGCTTTAAAAAGCCTCCTAGTGATGAAAGTGGTCCAAAGAAAAACAGACGGTCCAGCTTGCTAGTAAGCAGCTCAAAGGACACATTTGCCCTACGTGGATATGCAAATGAAAATGAATAGTCTATTACAATACACAAACATCTTTCATAACCACACAAACAGAGACAGCTGCTGCTGCTGTGTCCCATATGAATACAGTAATGTGCACCTTGAACCATGCACAGGACAAACAGACTCAATTTACTTGTGTTTTTATGAAGTCTTTATGATACTGTTATGCTCCGTCACATCATTCCTCTCACAAATAGAGCCTCAGACAGCGGGACTGAGTGTAATGACAGGTTTAATAAGGTGCATGGGATGAAATCTGCAGTCGGAGCTCACTACCCTGCCTTCAACGGCATTATAAGCTACAGACTGCTACTATCACATCCAGTTATTTGTGTGTCGCTCCATGTTTTGGTCTATTTCAGAGCTGAGTGACTTCATATAACAAAATAATTAAGTATCCAACAAATTCTCCTTTGGAACACAATATGTCCTTAGTATTGCTATGCTAGTGTTTGTTTGTGTTGTTGTTTAAGTGTGTTAGAGCCAATTTGCGGGGCACTGAACCACAGCCACAGTGCTGAGTTTTTCAGCTGGATGAATGAACTTCATAATGAAACATGAGTCTTAAGTGTTCATCAATCACTCCGTCTGTTATATACAAAGTATTCATCATCAAAGCCAAATCCACGACAGTTTGCCTGCCATAATGTGAGCTCCAGTAGACGACAACCTTGCAAAACTAATACTCCATCCACTAAATGAGCAATTATTTGCACGAAAGCTCTGAACATGACGTCCATTGTAATAAAAAATGAATAGTCTGATAATTATAAGATTGAGCGTGCAGGTAAGTAATGGAAAGAGACATCAGGGGATTCATTATTACCTTTGCGGATGGAGCCCTCCTGTCCCACCACACCGTCAGAGTCCACATTTGTGACGTAAATGGGGAGGTCCCACCCTCGGCTGGACATGCCCCCCGCCACCGTCATACCCAGGGAGTCATACGGCTCCTTAGTCAGAGTAACTGTCTTCTCATAGCATGCAGGCTTCTGACAAGAGTCCTTGACATTGGATAGAAGACAGACAGAGAGGAGGGTAAATTAATAATGGAAAAGCAGTGGGGCTTCTCTTTCCCCAAAACCATGTACTACTTTATGTTCCACTGCCATGGTCGACATTCATAATTGATGTTGTCACAGTGGCATCTTGGGTGTCTTTCTTTGTGTATCCACGTTCTTCTAAACACAATAACTCAAGACCAAACATGATATTAACTTAATTGTTACCCCAAGGGCACCTTCTATAGACTACATAATCTAATTGGATTTTTGAGCTACACATTTGCATATTAATAAGGACTGTTTTCTGTGGGACCTGAGATAGCCCCTTAATGGTAGGAGAGCTCAAATGAATACCACCCATGCTTTGCTATGGGAACAAGAGTCCAATGACATAGACATAGTTGCTAATTAATGAATGACCTCATTAGCATAACTGGCAATGTATAATATATGGCGGTTATTAAGATAGGACATCAGACAGCTCAAGTGTCTCTTCACTTTGTATCCACGGTGGATGTAAAGAAACTGATTTATTCGTAGACGTTGTGATGTGCGATTTGGTTTGGTGATCGAGGCTGTGTGTGGGATAAAGTGAGTGAGATTTTATTTATGGTGAGTGTGTTTGTGTGTCAGATTGGGGGAGAGCGAGGGAGGGTGGAGTAGTAATGAATAACACATGGACACATTGAGGTTGATGGGATGTAGCTTGTGCTGCGTCGCTAATGTGCTGCATTCACACATTTCTGCTGCGCTCACAGGAGGAGATCACTTGTGGTCACATGACTGACCCCAGGGCATAGCACTGACTATAGCTGTGTGAACACTATCCACACCTACACAATACATTGTGGGTTTTGTATTGTACACTACTGCAAGGTGTGCTACGTGTGTAAATATAATATAACGTAGGGTTTTTTTGCATGTTTTTTTTCCTTAAATCAGTGGTAGAGACTCTTTTTACTTACATGGCATCCTTCCTACAAAAAAGTAACTAACTCAGTCATAACCAACTTAATTAGACTGTATTTAAAGTAATATTTAGACATATTGAGAAATTATTATTGTCTTTCTTGATGAGAGTTAGATGATAAGATTGAAAAGTCTCCCTCCACTGTTGGCCTAATGTAAATATATAGCTACAGCCAGCTGCTTGTTAGAAAAAAATGGAAGTAAACCGCTCTCTGCTCTGTCTGAAGGTAATACCAGCACCTCTGAAGGTTACACATTTTATCTATAGAAGCCTGCTTCTCATACATTTTCTGCTTGAAACTGTGATTCTAAAGAAGTTTGCAAATAAAAAATAAGGCGAAGCTGTTATAGATGATGTGGATGC